TGTGTAGAAAGAAGGAAAAAATATATATAAAAATAATATCAATGGTGCTCCCTTGTATGCTCCCTTGTATGGTGAAGCAGGATCCTTGTAGTATCTGAAAACCAAATTATAGTAATAAAAGGAAGCACCAAGAGCCCCTGACGCCCGCGTTTGGCTTTGGCTTTGGGACCACTAGCCACCTGGAGGGGAGTAGTGGACATAAATTATAAGGGGGGCAGGATTGCAATGGTATGTCCACCTCCTTTTTATATCTATTTGCAGTGCCCACCTGTTGTTCATAAGTGAGTGCCAGGGTTGACATTAGGCCACACTGAATTTTAATAATTAGAGACCCCACCCTCTGACCACAATAGGGGGCAGTGTGGGAACAATAAGTCCTCCCACTTTTTATTAATATAGATGTCACCCACTGACCAAGGGTGGGGATTAGGGGCACACTTAGTCCTCACCCCCCATTTATTAATTAATTGATTTGCCTCACCATCGTGGATTGGGGAGCAGGGGAAACCTGTGACAGGTACCCCTGTATTTTATTAACAACTGCTGCAAGTCTTTTATAACAGAGTGCAGTCACTGGATGCCCACTGTTTAGCCCACACGCGCCGACTTCGAACTATCTGCCCACTGGCTGCTAGTGCTGCAGCTTTTTGTGGCTGGTATTTTCAAGACAATTTATCATAAATTATATCTTCCATAAATGTAGCTGAATCAGCGTGGCTAGTGGCTAAGGTCGATGGCGGTGTGAGTGCTGAGCTCCGCCACATGTAGGATCTGTCTGGTGAGCAGAAAGACACAAATGAATTCGGGGGTAACTCCTGCCACTGCACCAGCATCAGTACTAGTGTCTGTACCGGAACAGTGGATCCAGCGGCTGCAAGGTCTTTATGGAGGTACTATGCAGATTCAGCAGTCCACAAAAAAGCAGAGAAGTTATCAGTGTTGGAGGTGTGAGGAGGAAGAGGGTGATATTGAACACATATGGTGATTCTGTAAAAACATACTAACATATTGGGATGGTGTCATAGAAGTGACTAGTGGGGTACTTCCAACTGATTTTAAACTTACACCTTCACAGGTGCTTATGGGTTGGCCACGTACCTTGATGGGTTCCCATAAACAAAAGCTATTATGGCTATTAATGTGGGAGGCAAATGTGCTCATCCCAGTGTATTGGAAGCAAACTCAGATACCTACAACAGAGCCGTGGATAGCCAGAGTTGAAAAAACTTGTGAAATGGAGGATATTCACTGGGCTGTGAGGGGTAGGAAACAAAACTATCTCAATACATGGCGCAAGCAAAAAAAAGGGGGATGATCTGCTGAACCAATCATAAATAAAACAACATAGCGTATAACTGTGTATGATGACAAATTGTAGCAGTTATATTCACAAATGGCCACTCACACTTTTGCTGAAGTTTGCAAGCCTTGAATATTTTCCTTTTCAAAATAGGAATTCCAAATCCTCTGTCTGGGTTAAAATCTCCATAGATATATTGGCATGTATGTGCTCAGGAAAGAAATGTATATAAAAGAATATAAGATGCACATTCAGAGTGAAGTACAAAAAAGTATTTAATAACTTGCATCAAGATATAAAATCATCAGTGTAGTCCCTCTATGTCACCACCAGGGGTCCTACGCGTTTCATCCAACCAAATAGGACTTCCTCAGGGACTTGTATGGTGTGTGATCAACAGGTACAAATAAACAATGAACAATAACAATTTCCCTCCCTCCCCAGTTCTTATATATCCCTTCAGTGTCCACATAATGAGTGATCTTTTGCAGGTGTTTTCTCTTCAGTGTCCACATAACGAGTGATCTTTTGCAGGTGTTTCTTTTCTGTTGTTAGTTGAGGGTTTCTGTCTTGTTGCTCACTGCTCAATCTCAGCCAGACATATAATTATAGTTTGGTGGAAACAGGGAATAAGAGAAAGGGGTAGTAAATATTCACTCTGCATCAAACAAATTTAATACTTAAAGATAAAAATGAATCATCATCATTCTCATTACCTATATTAATAAAGTGCATACATATAAAAAAAAAAAATAATAATAAAATAATGAATACAAAAAAAATATATAAAAAAATACATATAAAAAATTATATACAGAAAATTATATTATATATAAAAATATGTATAAAAATTACAATTTTCTTTCAAGAGCACAAATATTCAGAAAGTGAACAGAGGTTCACTCAATACATGG